AGAGAGAGAGAGAGAGAGAGAGAGAGAGAGAGAGCGACTCTTAATCGTGTACTCAATATCCAGTTACATCACACCATATTCGTCACCCAGGAACAACATACCAGCAAGTCCAACCCTCGTGGAGTTAGCAATCTCCAGTGCCTCCTCCTCAGAAGTAAACCTGTGGCAGAGATCACAAGTCAACAATCAAGCAGCATACTCACTGTATTATCAATTATAGAAACCAATTAACTGTGTGATCAACGACAGACCATCCACATGATCAGTGACAGATTAACAGCGCGACCAACGAGAAATTAACAGCGCGATCAATGATGAGCTAACCGCTCAATCAGTGACTGATTGATTGACTACAAACTTACTGCCTGATCAACAACAAAATAACCGCACGATCAACAACAAAATAACTGCCTGTCAGATTAATGACAAAATAACCATGTAATCAACAACAAACTATCCGAGTGATCACTGACCAATTTTAAGTACGTGATCGACAACAAACTAAACGCTTGATCAATGACATTCCCCACGTTATCAACAACAATCAACATCGATTTACTTCGCGATCGATCGATCGACTTACTTCGCGATCGATCGATCGACTTACTTTGCGATCGATCGATCGACTCACTTCGAGATCGATCGATCGACTTACTTCGCGATCGATCGATCAACCTACTTCGCGATCGATCGATCGACTCACTTCGCGATCGATCGATCGACTCACTTCGCGATCGTTCGACTTACTTCACGATCGGCGCGACAGGTCCGAAGATCTCTTCGCGTGCGAGCATCATGTCCGGAGTTATCCCGGTGAGCACCGTCGGCTCGTAGAAGTTGCCGCCGCGCTCGTGGCGCTTCCCTCCCACGACGACGCTCGCCCCGCGCGCCACCGCGTCCGCCAGCAGCCGGTCCACCTGCGCAGAGCAGCCGCACGTTACGGGAGAGGAGGAGAGGGAGGGAACTCTCTCCGTTTCTTCCTCACCTTCTTCCTTCCCTCTCTCTCGTCTCTCCCTCCCCTTCTCCCTCCCCCTCTCCCTCCCCTTCTTCCTCACCTCTCTATCCCCTCTTCCTCCCCTTCTCCCTCCCTTTTCCTCACTTCTCCACCTCGCGACCTAGTGGAGCCACCTGGAGGTTGAAAACCGAATCGCCAAACCGCGAAATTTTCCGGGCGGAGAAATCTTTAGCACGCGTGACCCGGCGATTCGAAAAAACAAGCGAACGCCTTTGCGCGCTCGCGCCCACAGGTGGCGCCGCGTACCTTCTCAGCGGCGGCGGCGTTGATGAGCGGACCCTGGCTGACGCCGGGCTCGAATCCGTCGCCGACCTGTAGCGCCCTCACGTGGTCGGCGAAGGCGGTGACGAACTTGTCGTAGATTCCCGCCTGAACAATCAGCCGGTTAGAGCAGACGCACGTCTGAAACACAGGAGGGGGCCGTGTCAACAATCACGATCACGGGATGGGGGCCGTGTCAACAATCACGATCACGAGACGGGGGTCATGTCCACAATCTCGTTCACGGGATGGGGGGCGTGTCAATAATCACGATCACGGGATGGGGGCCGTATCAACAATCACGATCACGGGACGGGGGTCATGTCCACAATCTCGATCACGGGATGGGGGGCGTGTCAATAATCACGATCACGGGACGGGGGGCATGTCCACAACCGACAAAAATTAAAATGAAACACCCAATGTACGCGACCCAGTAACTTCGATCAGTAACTGCAGTCATATTAAAGTTGAGTAATACTACAGCACACATTGCATTTACATCAAAACTACTCGATTTTAATCGATCATTACATAGGAATAGTACACATTAAAAGTCTGTGCATAAATAAACATGCGAAAATTTGCTCTCCCCCTCAAAACGCAAATGTGTAAAAGAAAAAAAAAGGAAAAAAAAGGAAAAAATTTGTTTTTATCAAAAACGATGACAGGTGACGCTACCTGTCCGCTGCATCTAAACTTGGACGCCATGGCGCCGGCGACGGCGGCGTCGACGTCAGCGCTGTCGAAGACGATGAAGGGAGCGTTGCCGCCGAGCTCCAAGGAAACACGCTTCACCGTCGACGCGCACTGAGCGAGCAGCAGCTGCAATCAGAGGACAGTAACACCTGTATAGAAGGGTCGGTTACGGAAAATAACCTGCCCAAGTATCCCCAAAAGGTGGGTGGCTGTTACACCACGATAACACCTGTATAGAAGGGTCTCTTAAGGGAAACCCTTCACCCACTTAGGTGTCTATTGGGCAGCCATTATACTATGGTAATACCTGTATAGAAGGGTCGGTTAAGGGAAATCTCCCCTGCCCAATTATCCCTCAAAGATGGGTGTCCATTCTATAAAGGGAGTGCTTGAGGTTAGGGTCGTTTTACGATGTTCATTTAAAAGAAAGGAAGTTCTACGATGTTCTGCAGAAAATGTTTTCTCATAAATATTCTCAAGTAACCATGGTCCCATTTACCTGATGAAAATAACATGCGTAATAGGGTTGGATTTGAAAGACCCCCCAAAGAAAGGCATGTCAGTGATGAGCCAATTCCTCTGTTTCCCTCCCCTTTTCCTCCCCCTCTCCTTTCCTTCTCCCTCCCCTTGTCTCCTCTCTCCCTCTCCTCTCCTCCTCCACTCCTCCTGTTCACCTCCTCCTCCCCTCTCCCTCCTCCTCCCCTCTTCCCTTCTCCTCACCTGTTGCCTCCCCCTCTCCCCTTCTCTTCCTCGGTCCCTCCTGCACCTCCGTCCTCACGTCATCCTCCCGCCCTCACGTCCTCCCTCTTCCCTCCTCTCCTCCTTCCTCCCCCTTCTCTCCTCCTCCTCACCTCTCCTCCCCTCTCCCCTCCTCTTCTCATCCCCCTCTCCCGCTCCTCTTCCTCCCCCTCTCCCCTCCTCCTCCTCCCCCTTTCCCCTCTCTCTGCCTCCTCTTCTTCTCCTTCCCCCTCTCCCTTCTCCCGCTCCCCCTCCCTCCTATCACTCCTCCTCTCCTCCTCCTCTCCTTCCGCCCCTCTACCCTCCTCTCCTCCTCCTCTCCCCCTCTCCCTCTATCCTCTTCCTCCCCCTCTCCCCTCGCTTCCTCTCCTCCCTCTCCCCTCTCCTCACCTTTCCCGGTGGGCCGAATCGAGGCCCTGTGAAGGGAGAACTTATGCGACGAGCGGGATCCTGTCCGGTCATGATCCTGCGATTCGCCGGCGCCCTCTCCTGAGCTGCCGGTGACAACGTTGAAGACGCCCCGGTGGTTATGCCGGCTTTGCCCTCAGCTAGCTGCAAGGGAAAGACACATTGAGGTGTCGTGCTAGGGGGAGGCGGGGAATGTACACACGCACGCGCACTCACGCACGATCGCATCACGCTACGATCGCACGATCGACACC